TAAAAACATTCAGATCCTTTACCTGGGCACATACTGAGGGTTTTCTGAAGGAGTTGTCCTCATTAATTTATTTTAATCTGTTGATTTGGGTGGATCTCTCACAATTATGTGCTTTAACAACAGCATATTAGTCCTTAATTTGGAAGTCTCCAGTATCATACACAGCTCCATCAGATTTCAAACTCCTTAGGTTTTTTTATTTTTTTTTTTATGTTTTCCTAAGGGTTGAATCATTCACAAGTATTTCTTGTTTTCTTTTTCCCATCATTTCTTAAGTTTAATATCCTGTCCATCTGCATCTGTTAAGAGTCTAAAATGCTGCCTTGATGTTGCATCCGAGTTTCATGTGTTGTCAGAGCACATTTATCAAAGCTTTGCTCCAAAGGCTTGTTCTCTGCTTACACCTCTTTGCTTGGCATGGGAACCTTTCAGTGTGATCTTAATGTGCCTATAGCTTATTGATTCAGTTTCCAGATAACTACTGCTTACCTTCCACTAAGACACCAGAAAATTAAACACTCCTCCCTTTAGGAATTTCTCATTTGTAAACTATACTCCTAAAAAAAAAAAAAAAAAAAAAAGGCAAGCCAACCACTTGTGAAAGATTACTTAGATATAACCCGTATTCAGGTTATGAAAGGGGGAATTTCCTCTCTGCTTTTGGAAAAGTCTGAATGCGTTTTAGGTTGTCCAATTCCTGCTGAATCTGTGTATAGTTTAGTACAGTTATTTTTGAGGATATATCTTTAAGTCAGGCCCCATTATACCGTTGCCCTTGATTTGCTGCTCCCTCTTTACTGTTTCAGAGGGACCCCCTAGATCTTCGAAGGCAGGGAATTTAAAAGGTCTAGGTGATGGTAGCTGATGGTTAAAACCCTTTAACAAGAGGGATTTATTTGTCAAAACTGTTCTACAACTTTAATAAATTAATTTCTAACAAAGTACAAGCCTTGTACAATTTCCAGAACCGAGCAGTTCTTCTCCAGAAGAGAGAAAAGGTCAAAAGTGGAATATACCTTTTTTTTTTTTCTCTGACATTTGTGTCATATTTCTTGAGCATTCTGAAGAATAGACTTGTGTCATAAATTCCTCAAGGAATTGTGGCTCCTTCTGGAGCCTCTTCTCTGATCTGTTGTGCTCTGCTTCTCAATCAGCTGGTGAGGAATCCTTTTACAATTACCAATTCCTCTCGTTAGGTGACTTTCTGATTAATCTCGTGACATTAAAACCACTCACTGGTGACCTGTTGGTTCCTAAACACCCTTGAAACAGAGAGTTGCAACAACACCTTGTTTTGAGCAGTAACCAGGGAAACACTATTTCTGTGCAGCTTGACTGTGTAGTGACAAAAGAAACAATTATTGCTGTAGAAGAGAAGTCAAAATATTGAAAATCATTGGTGCTAAAGGTACAGCCAGAAGGAAGACACATCACTGTCTTTGGGGTCAGAAAGATAAAGGAGGAGAACAAACTTCTGATTCTAAAAAGCCTGGGGAAAGTGAATTTTGTCATAATATAGTTGGCACAGTCTATAGGCCAGCGACAATACATAATTATACTTAATGCTGTAGATGTTTGAACTTACTTGATTCGGTGTAGAACATCTACTGATTTTCAGAACTTTAAAAGGATGGAATATATTTAAATTTTCCTCTTTATTTTGAGACAAGATATTTCCCATAAGGTCCTTATGTATGTTTTATTTTTTGGTACTACAAAGACCATTCTGAGATGAAGCAGAGGTGGCAAACTTGAAGCCAACTCCTGCTGTCCCCCCCGGGGGTGTCACCTGTGTTTGCAGCTTTCCCGATGGGAAGTAAAAGCAAGGTGATGGTTCCAGCTCGGCTCCTTCCCGCCCATCCCAAAATCCAGCCAAACCATCAGATGTTTCTGTTTCAGCTAAGCTACAATTCATTCTGACCCCACAGCCCACATCTGCAGAGGAATCCCACAAGTGGGAAACACAGATCCGTGTCACGGGAGGCTGGTTCTCCAGCCCTGTCTGCTTTAGTGATGCAGCACGTTGGGAGTGGCGTCACTGAACACAAACTCACCGTGTTTATCCCCTGGATTCCAAGTATTTTATGTTTAAAAGAGCTGTTTTTATGCTGTTTGAAGTGATGCAGTTCAAAGAAATGGGAGCACCGTGTAGGAGCCCACTGATTGTAAAAAATCAGGATAGCAATAAAAGATCCTTATTTGGGTGATTTGCAATAATAGTTCCCCACCTAATATGTGCTTATTTCAAGGTTTCACCAGGTTGTGAGCAGATGATTTACCCCTGTGTTGGTTTTTATTCTGTTTGTGTTACATGGCTGGTTATCTTTTCAACTTGCAGAATCTATGAAGTGTTTGATGTGTTTGTATAAACAATTTGATTTCTGAAAACATGTTCTGAATTAGATGCCGTTACTGTACAACAACACACTGACAGCATTCTGAGAGCATTGCAAGCCCTTTGTTTAGTAACACAACAAATGTCATCAGACTGTCTCAGTAAGAATGCAGACATTAAAAAGAGCTTGTAAAAACGAGGAGGGTTTGAATTCTAGAATTATGGGGGATATCAAATGGGTGCATCTGTCTCTTCTGTCTCTGTCTTTAATTTTTCAGTGAAACCTTTTCCTGTTGATTTTTGACAAATGTTTTTTTCCCATCAAATCAGGCATTCAGGTTTCGGTTTTGACTATCACAGCTCGAAAAACAATATTCAGTGCAAATTTTGAGATGGATGTTTGAAAGCATGAAGTGAAAAGTTGCTGTTCTTTTTGTTTGCCTTTCAGTTATTGGTACTTAGGATATCACCAGTAGCTTCTTGCAGCCACACTGACTGGAAACACTTCATTTCCTCTCAAATAAAAGCTTGTATTTGCATGGAATGAAATGTCATCAGAATAAAAATTGCTTAGAAACTTCTAAAAGATCATCAAATCTGTTAAAGTAAACAATGTACATTTTTCTTCCACTTCCTTCTGTTCCCCTCAGTTATTTGTACTGGCATTTGGTCTGAACTGTTCTTTGAAGTATGACAAGTGTTTGGTGTGTTTGTAATATTTTAAAGATAATTCTAACAGTTCCATTATATAATTTCAAATATGGCTCGTTATTTTCTTTTCTCCATTTGTTTCAAGATTGGCAACTGAGACAGACGTTGCCATTCAGAGGAAAATAATTACAAACATTACCCCATCTTGAAAAACAGGTCTGTGCTTTGCATCTGTATCTATATAAAGTTCCTGCAGTCAATAGAAAATGATGCCAGTTAACATGTAGCATTTGATAATTTGAATTTTCTTGATGTATCAAATACTTGGTGGTTGTTCGAAGTGCTGAGCCATGAATAATTTGCTGGCTTTCACTTTATAATCTGCAGCGTCTGCTGACTTTGAAGTTCAGTAGTCAACTTAAAGTTTGCTGGAGCTGACTAATGATTCACCAGAGATTTTGGAGAGATATTTTGTCATCCATTTAAAGCTTGGAAAGGTTTGCTGTTGCAGCCATCTGGTAGTTCTTGGTTCTCTGGAGGAAAGAGAAGCCTTTTGATACAATAGATCAAAGCATTCTGCTCTTTCAGTGACTGATACCTATAAGTAACTTAGAAGTTTCTCAGAATGATTTCCCAATTCCTGTCTCATTTGCCAAACTTTTGCATTCTAGTTACAATCCAATATTGGTCATGAATTAGATTTTAACTGTAATTGAATTGTTATTTTAATGCTTTTGTTTGTGGATAATTTGCAGATCCAAGTGTTTTGTAAACCCAGAGGTTTTTAATTTACCAAATATGCTGTCATGGTTAATAAAACTGACACTAAATCTTGTTCTTTGTGCTAATTGTACAGCAACAACTGTACTTGTGCTATCCCATAAACCTGACTTACAGACTGTGGGTGATATACAACCAAAACTATATATGACATTATTTTTAGAGCTGAATCTTGGAGTTCTGAGGTTGGGGTGCGCAGATGTTTGGCAGTGAAGGGCAAACCTGGAGAGACTGAGTGGGGACAGGAAGGGAGCCCTTCAACGACCACTTGAAAGGAGCCCAATCTCCCTCTGGATGGGTCGGGCACATCTGAGGTTTGTTTGGGCTCAGGATGTTGTTTCTGTTCCATCAGACATTCCGGATGTGCAATTGCCATGACCACACATGTCCAGCCTTCTGTAAGAGGGAGTTTATTGCATCACAAGCAGCCAAACCAGAATGAGGAAATTCGCTTTTCCCTTCCCTGTTGTTCAGTTCAGGGGTTCATTGTAATGACCGATGTACCGAAGAAAGAAAAGAATTAAACCTCGTGTGTCACATTGTCCTCAATCAAAGTTAATCAAGGAATTTCAGCAATGGCTGATGTTCCTTAGGATTTTGCCTATATCATCCTAACAACTACATATATAACTACATATAACTATATAACAACTGCACATGGTGTATAGAGGGGGAGCCTTTTTATGTAACCATTCAAAGTATAGCACTGCCTAAATGACACGTGTGGTAACTGCCTGATAGTCATTGATAAATCCTTCAGAGTTGCTGTTCTTACATTAGGTAGCTTGGAGAGAGGAAAAGACCTCCAAGAGGTGAATTTGTAAGGAATTAGTACATTTAAAATGCAAACTAGATGACTAATATGGTACCAAATTTTCAGAGAATAGAGCAATGGGAGTTTGGTGAAGGAAATTAAAAAAATTAAAGTTTGCTTGAACTCAGATTTAAAAATGTCCTTTAGGTAGCAGAAGAAAATTCCATGTTCTTATGCTTATTGCTATTGTTTAAACTTTTCAGTGAGCTCTGGTGCTCTTGTCTCTTATTAAGTCTACAAACAATGATAAATGTGTAATTCCATACCTCACAAACTTGAATGTTCCGCCTGCTGTATCTCAGAATCAGATGGATATGCTTACCTGCTTGATTATCTCCTTGTCTGCTCCACATGTGCTTCCTGGCAGCTCCAGTTCAACTTTTTTTTTTTGTCCTTTCTTTCTTTTTTTTTTTTTTTCAGTGTGGGAACTTTGCTGTCCTGGTGGATGTTCATATTTTGCCTCAAGGCTCCAGTAAAGACACCAGCTGGTTTTCAGATCATGAGAAAGAGGTACAACAAATATCAGCTCTACTTCAAAAGCATGTGGCTGCAGGGGAAAACTTGGATTGCCTTGAACTGTTCAGAATTTTCCAGGGCTTTGAGAATATTGTTACTTACACCTTACCATCCATGATTGCTGTGGGACCCCTTAGTCAGCCATATGTGCTTTTTGGGTCACTAATGACCACTTTTAATTAGCTTTTTAATTTTTAAACTCTGTGGGTCTACACATACATGTGTGTGCTGTTTAGATTCTTCTGAATTTTAGTTTTAAAACTACATTTTTCATGAATGTTGGTAAATTATCCTGAGTGATGTAAAGCAGATTTTGACAGTGTGACAGGTATCATTTTGTTGGTGAAATATCTGTATATTAATTATTTCTTTTTCTCATTCTGAGAAGAGTGAATGGTGTTGCATGTAGAGGGGTGCAAGAAAACATCGTAAGTGTGAATGATAACCTAGAGTAGAACCACTGCATCACATGACAAGAAACTTTTTAAGTCTATCATTTGTATATCCTGACGAAAGGGTGGAAAATCAGTGACCGGCACAATTCTGACTGTAACTTTCATCAGACTGTGTGTGATTTCTACTCCAACCTTGTGATGAGTTACTGGCAGGAGTTTTCCCCCGTGTCAGCCTGTGTGGGAACTTGAGAAGTTCCCTATTGCAGACGAGGGCAGGACGTGTTTGGGATGCCTGTGGACTTTCCCGCAAGTCTCCGTTACGGTAATTTTCAGCAGATACTTTTCCTAATAATGCCATAATTAACCTGTCACTGCAGAGCGTCCCTGGCCCTCTCTAAGTTTAAATAAAATTAAAAGAAACAATACATTAATATCCTGAGGGAGCAGAATATTTAGCAGCACGTGGGTTCATCAGATTTGTGCTTTATTAAGCAGAGAAATGAGAAAAAAAGGGGGAAATCTTTTAGGCTTTTTTCCTGACTAAATGGATGCTTGTTACGCCTTCTATTTATAACCAGTTTTACTCTCTGAGTTTTAAGTGTTTTCAAAACGTATTTTGTGAGGCTGCCAAGACAAAAGATATGAATTTCAGGAAATTAGATCATGATTGATTTAATAAAAAGGCATGACAGGGCAGCATTCAGCGCCTTTCACGTTTCGAGAGAAGCACAAAGGTTGCATATTTTCAGCAGCTAAAATTCAAATTTCCCTGCCCTGTTCTATCTCTTCCCCCCTCCAATAGCAAATTCAAATTTCATCCTTGCACTCTTAGGTCTGTGTACTTCTTTGTGGAGAACCATTTCAATAATATTTCCCTGAGCATAAAAGCTCAAATATGTTCCATGTAAATGAAGGAAGTGCGTGGTGACGTTTATGGGTGCGGAAGGAACCAAACACAAACCACGTTTCTGCTGCTTTCTGGGCCTTTTCCCTCAGACCTGAGCACAGAGTCCTCTTCAGAAATGTGTAATGGGAGCACTTTAATGAGTTAAACAGAAGAATAAGTCAGTATAGTATTTTATAATTATACTCTACAAGCAGAAAGGAAAATGTATTTCTTATAGTAAGGAGAAAATACTGGCTGTGGTTGACCAATATATTGCCCTGCTTTTATTAAGAGCAATGCATTAAAAATTCGTTGCTCTGCATACTTTCTACATTAATCCAAAGGAAATTTCAAGCCAAGGTATTTAATTTAGATACTACTAATATAATTTTGTCAGTACCCAAACACAGTAAAAAAGGTAAAATTGTATTTTTGTGTGCCACAAAGTATCATTTCTGCGAGCACATAGTTATGAACAATGGAAAATGAGAATGCTGGGGGAAAAGTCTCAAATATGCGACTGAGCATCAAACTGAAAACTTATTCTGGTATTCAAGAGATTAATTTTTGCTTTTACTCCAAGTTATTTTT